ATATGGCATCCTTGCAGTGTAAATAACTCAAAACTTCAATTAATTTGCATAATTTCTTCTAAAGATTTTTACTGTTTTTGTTTTATCAATTTATCTAACAATAAATTCTGATATGGATTACCATTGTGAGTGTCATAACCTTTTGTCAATGTAACTTGCTAGAATTATATAGCCTTATGTGGTTTTTAAAAACCATTATCAATTGATGCATATGTATAAATTAATTAACCTTTTTTTTTCACTTGTAATTATTTACGCAAAATTTTTTTATATCAGCAATCGAAAATTAGATTTTGTATTAAAAAATATTATTTTTAGAAATTTATTATATTGTTTTAATTATTTATATGCTAGTTTAATTTGTATGCAATTTTTAATATATAAATAATAATTTATATTATAAATGACAATATAATTCAGAATAATAATTTATATTATAAATAACAAAATAATTCAGAATAATTGTCTAGAGTTAGCATATTTTAAAAATGTATAATATATTAATATAAAACCCGGCCGAAGGCCGGGCAAAAGCGGGCCAAAGGCCCGAAAATTGAGAGGGTATGGGGGCGAAGCCCCCATAAAATTTTTTTAGCTGAGCCCCCTGAGATTGTAAAGGCTAGCGACGCCCCTGAAGAGGATCTGTATCTGTACCTTTGTAAAATGAAAAAGATTTTTTTCAGAATGAAGGATCTTAGATACTAATACTAATATCTTATCAATGAGTACGAGATACAAAAATATCTTTTATCGTAAAAACAAGTTTTGGTGGTGCTGCCCAACTCTGCGTATATGCCCTTTAATATTGCTGGTGCAACATAGTTATACTAGGTATTCCTCATTACCATCAAATTGGATTTTTAAAAAATCCAGAGAACAATATGAGGCTTCACGTTTGTGGATGAGCAGCACGTGACTGTATGCATAACATAGGCGTAGCCAGGATTTTTATAAGTGGGGGGGGGGGGGAATTAAAAAACTACTGGGAGCTTCGCCCCCAGACCCCCTTTTGGGCGAGCCTTCGGCCCGCTTTTCCCCGGCCTTCGGCCGGGTTACTTTAGTCTATATATAGTCATAAAATATTTATGAAATATATTTTTATTAGTTTATATAAAATAAAAATATAATATATTACTTGTATTGTATATACCTTAATATAAGAGCATGGTAATAATTTATTCCAAACAATTATAAGAAATTTATTTATAAAAAGTAAGTAGACATATAGTTGATTTTACTCTATTATATAGAATTAGTTATAAATTACTAGGTAAAATTGCACTTTTACAGACATATTTGACAGTTAGAGAATATATTACAGTTAATAATTTAACAAATTTTACTAATCAATGTTCTTGATATTAAATATAGCAACAATTTGCATTCAATTATTTAACGCCATCTATTTATTTTAAGTAAAAATGATATTAAAATTTAATTTTCATATTATTTATCCCACAAAGTCTTAAGATATTTTCTGATGTCCTTATCAATATTTTATAGTTTTCTGTAAAATATATAATTCGCTATATTGGTAAAAATAACTTGATTGTCATTTGACAATTAGATATACTGTAAATATACGACATATAATATTCCACTGTTTGTGCTTTAATATTTTTTTAATTTATGATTTAATTTTATCAATAGTTTTATAATTATATTTTACTTTTATTAAGATAAATAAATCAAAATTACTCACATAAAAAATTATATTTGATATATTATATTATTTAGAAATTTTATGGATCTATTATTAATAATTATAATACATTTCACTTCTGTCTTAAGACTTATCTTTGGCTTATATTCCATTTATTAAAAAACATTTTTGGTTCATTTTATATGTTTATAAATTTATTTTCCCAAAAATTTATAAATTATGATGAAAAGTTTTATAAAAAAATATCAACTTTTACATTCTTTCTTTTAAATTATTATTTAAGATATATGCATACATATTTGAGGGTCAGGGAGTGGGGGGAGGACTAAGGGGGATTTTTTTTATTAGCTAAAAAAGATATTTACAAAAAGTGATAAATTTCTGAAGGGGGGGGATTTCCCCTTGCCTCCCCCCCTTGGCTACGTCTATGATGCATAATAATGTCTTTAAGCAGATTAAAAGAGAATGGACCAATACCACAGCATTATGTTTAATATTGGTTAGAAATATTGTAAATAACTTGTCACCATGCTGACATTTTTAATAAAAATAATTTGCAAATAGAGGATAGTAATAGAATTTACCTGATTTAACCATAGTCTTTTAGCTTAAACAAAGTAAGAAATCAATCAAGCCGCAGGTTAAATTATTAACCTGTATATTCCGAATTTCTGTAGACTTTTCAACCGAGACTTCTGTGACGTGTGACAGAGTTTAGAAGGAAGGGTTTGAAAGACCCTGCAGCCTGTAAAATATAAAATTGCTAAATTAATTATAATTAAATCTTGTATTCAAAATTAAGGATCCTTTATTGTTATAAAGCCTATTCAACACGATTCAAAATATCATTAAAATTAAATAATCAAAAATAGAAAATAAATAAAAAAATTAATATTATCAAAAATCCCAAAATAAAAAGTGAAGTATAAATACATGTTAAAACGTTCCATGTCTCTTTTACTTATAATTTGCATAAGAAAAAAAATATGTAAAAAAATTTACTGTCTGTGAATAAAATCTTTATTTATAAGTGCATAAATTTGCATATCATAACTCAAACAAAATTCACTGCCAACTAGATGCAAAAACTGTTTGTTTATAAGCGGTTTCTTGATACATATTTAAGGACACAAAACAATTTAACAGATTAACGACATTCATATTGAGCCTTAATGATTATTATATCTTCCCAGAATTGTTAAATGATCGAGATCAGGATCGACGATCCTGGATTCGATCCTAATTTTATCAATTTACCCGAATTTATGATATTTTCTTAAATTTAGGATGATCTAGATTATTTTGTTAAATATTCGATCCTTTGATTCTTTTAAAATTTATTTTCCACTTTAAAATTATATAAATAAAATAAAAACTATTTAAATAAAATATTATATTTTAAAAAAATCTGTCTCCATCATATTAGCATCCCCGCCATATTTTAATTTTCTGATAAATTTTATCAAGAAAATATTTAGAACTTGATTTACAACCTACAAATTTTATTCGTTGAATTAAAAATAAATTCTAATAAGTATTTATATTTACTAATGTTATAAACATATAGTTAATAAAGTGACAGATATAAAAGAGAACCCATTGCTTTTTCCTCAGCTTTGTAAAATAATGTTAATTATTAAGAAATAATTTTCTTCACTCTGTGAGGACAGTAGCATATTAGTAGCAATAATTTGCCCAATATTTGAGCTTAATTGGCCTTATATCAATCTGCCGCTAAACCATTTAATAAAATTACCCATTTGGAAAACCTGCAAGATCAACCACATGGAAATGTTTATTCAAATGATTGTATAGAAAAAAATTATACTTTCTTTGAGGAAAATTCTTAGCAAAATGCCCTTTTGCTTAATATATTTTTTTATTCAAATAATAATTCAATTAATATATTGAATATTGATATATAAATATAATATAAGGCCTTCGCCATCAAACACTCCTTCGTCTATATGACACGATTTTCACTATGCAAACCCTCATCAAAAATCTATGCCTACCCCCTAAAAAAAGTTTCGCCACCTTTGACGACTATTATTTATTACACCTTTTTATTTATAATTCTACTCCCTTCAAAAATTTTACAAAGAATAACTTAAAATAAAGTACAATGAATTCATTATTATAGTATATTGTTTGGCATGAATATGAGCTTACTGATAATATCTAATCCTTTTAAATGCAGAAAGTTTTATTTGGAAAATAAGGTCTATGATTGTTGTATATAGATTTGGTCGATGATTAGCAATATCATTGTATTATAATAGGTTTATAATAAAAGTATTAATTTTTTCAGAAATATATTTTGCCCTATTTCTTTAAAAATTTAATAGATAATCCTCCCCCCCCCCCAATAAATTTAACCTCCCCTAAAGGAGCCTACCTAAGAAAAGATCGTGATAAGTGGTCGATTCAGGATTTCGATCCCTTTTAAAAAAAAAGAAGATCATGATCATTATTCGATCTTTTTAAAAGGATCGATTAACAAGCCGGTATCTTCCACTACTAGTAATAAAATATCTCTTCATACTATTCAAGTATTTTATAATTGGCTACATACAGTTGAGATCAATCTAATATTGGCAAAGATATGGCTTTTTATAATTTAACTTCAAAAAATGTTGTTAAAATTAGTTGGTCGGTAATAAATTTTTTTAAAGTTTTTATTGGTTCAAATTAAAAAATAATTGAATTCAAAAAATTGATAACTATCATAATGTTTTATTCGCAGGTAAGCTTTTTGTAATATTTGTACCCTCTTTATTATTCGTGGTTTATAGTTGTGTATTTAATGTCGAACCCTGAAATATTTACTTTTTTCTGCAATATGTAAGTGGGAAATAGAATATATACCATAAATTTAATTCATAAATTCCTTTTTAAGCATCGCACTCGATATGCCCCCCTCTTTTTCCCCTAAAAATAAACTTAAATAAGAAAAATATAAGATAATTTATAGGATGTCACACACAGAGGTAGTCCTAATACACCCACTTTATATTAAAGAATGAAAATATTACGAATTTTAATAAAATTAAAACTTTATAATCATTACATAGATACATAGAGAATTAATAGTATTATTTCGATATAATGATCTAAATAGAAAGTAGATAGTAATTGTAAATAGACAAATTTCGATATAATGATCTAAATAGAAAGTAAATAGTAAATGTAAATAGACAAATTAAAAGGGGAACTTTGAGATTTATAGATTTAAAGGTAAATAAAAAATTAAAATTAGACATTTAATATTCTAAACATTACTAAAATATAAATTTTATTAAAATTAAAATATTTAGTTAATTGTGTTGATTTGAGTTTTTATTCACGCTTTTACAATTTTAAAATGCCTATGTTAAAATTATTAAATCCGAATTCCGAAATAGCTAAATCATCTAGGGCATTAGCTGTTAATATTAGTGCAGCAAAAGGTCTTTTAGAAGTTATGAAAGGGAATCTTGGACCAAAAGGAACATCTAAATTGTAAAATTTTAATTTTTTTGATTTTTATAAATCAATACTAGATTAGTATCTGGATCTGGTGATATTAAATTAACAAAAGATGGAAATGTATTATTAAATGAAATGGTAATAATAAGGTAGTTTAAGTTATTATATATATTTTAGCAAATTAAACATCCAACTGCCTCATTAATTGCCAAAGCTGCAGTTGCTCAAGATGAAATGACTGGAGATGGTACTACAACTATTGTGTTGTTAGTAGGAGAAATGCTTAAGCAAGCTGAGAACTATATTACAGAAGTAAAGGAGGAATAAGTTTTAATATAGTTATTTTATTTGTAATTAGGGTTTGCATCCAACAATAATTACTGATGGCTTTGAGGTAGCCAAGAAAAAGTGCTTAAAAGTATGATATATTCTAATATAATTATAAATAGTTTAATAGATTTTAGATGACATGAGAAGAGTTGATAATATTGACAAAGAAACATTAACGAATGTTGCACAAACAGCTCTACGATCTAAACTTAATGTAGAAATTGCAGATCTTCTTACAAATGTAAGTTGATTAGTTGCAAAAATATTTTTTAATTTTGAGCATAAATACCATTTTATTAGTTTAATATATATATATAACTCTTTTTTTAATATTATTTTTTACCTCTGCATACAAGTGATAATGTTCAGGGATTGCTCCTAAACTCTTTATTTCCCTTTAAACTTATTTTTTTCCTGCTGAATTTACCTGATCCTTTTTTAATTATTTGGGTTGAATCCAATCCTATATAACGCATGGGTTCAATATATTAATGTAATAAATATTAAATTTTACATCAATCACTACATAATTTTATAATTTAAATGTAAATTTTTTACATTTTGTGTAAGATTAATTATGTTTTGGCTGGCCCCTTTATGATGCTAAAAAATTTAATATACTAATTAAGATTTGTGTTTTCTGTATCTATGAAATTTTTTTAGCGTCTTATCATTTATACTTTTTGAGATATCAAGAATAAGGCATAGTAATACCTTTTTATGAATATTGATTCGCATTCATATAATGATTGATTAAAAGCTACTAGCACTGTGCCAATTTTTACTAGTGTTTATTGATTTTACTCATTTTTATTGTTTTTTAAATTAGGTGACCCTTACTTTATAATATAAATTATTATTACAGATTGTGGTTGAAGCTGTTACTCGTGTGAAGGATGAAGAAGGAAAAATTGATTTGCATCGAGTTGAAATTATGGAAATGCGACACAAAACTGAAACTGATACCATGTTTATATTAACATTTTAAAATTTAAGAAAATTAAATAAATATTATGATTTATGAATCAAACATACTAGAACCAATCTTTTCTGGGGCCCTTGATTTTATTATTTTTATTTCAACAGACCCTTAAATTTTAAATAATTATCATTTTTATGCTTTTATATAGTTATTTACAAATAAATTAATTTCCTGATTTTCTTGAAAATCATTTTTTTCTGAATAAATTTGTAACTCTTTCTAAAAATGCATTTTTCATAGAATGGGCCAAATTTGAAAAATAGCTTGAATGATGCATTTAAATTATTTATATTTTCTTAAATTTTGCCATTAAATTTTCTTTCTCTTATAATATAATTTATACTGTAGCTATATACAGACCATTTCAAAAATTTAACCAATCACCAGGAATCAAAATAGCTTGATTAAGCTATTTTTATTTTTAAATAAATATTTAACATCAATAAAGAGGGAAACCCAATTCTTGTACTTTTTAATCCACATTATCTCAGGTAAATTGCTAATTAGTTAAATCTTCTTTATATAACAGGTAAAATTAAAAATAGCTCAAATGTTGAATTTATTATTAATAACAGTCAATATAATTGATCATTATTATAAAAACATCAAAAAAAAATTTGAAATATGAGTCATCTTATGGCCAGTAGAAAATTGAAATAAATAGGTGCTCCAATTTAAAAAATTTTCTGATGGTGATTTTTTAGATCTAGACTGTAGCCTCAATTTTCATAAAAACATTATTGGAAAAATCTTAATATATTTTATTTAGTATCTTGATGTTATTGATTACAGCAATGATTTTAATAATGATTTTCTATTTTATTCTATAATGAATATCAAATATTTCCCACCTGATTTTTAAAATTTTATATTCAAAATTGATTTGGACTGGTCAAACCCCAAAATGGGTTCTTTAAATATTATAATTAAAATACAAATCCTGTTAATTTTATTTTGGGCTAGTATTTTGTTCTAACTTAATTAAATAGATTGACCTTATTTCAGCCAAATTTTATTTAATTTCAAGTATTTTTAAATGGCATTTTACAAATCATGTTTGGAAGTAATTTATCACATTATACCCAAAAAAATTATTGACAAATTATAAAAGGGTTTAAGAGCCTTTTTGACTCCTAGGTATATTAACCTGGAAATCCAGGAATATAATTTTTTTTAATAAGTATTAATCAAAAGTAGTCAGGATTGTCCATATTTAGGTTTGAATTACAAACTAGACTGAACCATGACCTTTATTAGTAGGTTAAAATGTAGTTAGCTGATCAAGGTACTATGGAAAAAATTCCCTAATCATTTTTAAAATTATCAAAAAACCCTCCCTTCTTTTCAGAAAATAAGGGTTTTCTAGTGGGGGATTGTCTTCCACCCTATCAGGTACAAACTACCATAGAAAAATGCTCTAGTTTAAAACTATTTATAATGTTAGATGAGATGTGTTATATTTGACCTAGAATTATAGATGCGACAACTACAAAATAATTAGCACAGCTTCTATTAAAATGAAAACTCTTTAATATAATTATATAAATAATTCCATATACCCATATATTTATATTTGTCTTGCAGGTTAGTTAAAGGACTAGTCTTGGACCATGGTGCTAGGCACCCTAATATGCCCAAAAGAGTATCTAATGCATATATATTAACCTGCAACGTTAGTTTGGAATATGAAAAAACGTAAAATTTATATATAATATTTCATAAATGTAATGCATTCATCATAATCAATATATTTTATTTAAACAAAACACTTTTTTAATAAAAAAAATACAAATGGAATATTCCTCCTCCCAATATACCTTCTTTTTAATGAATAAAGAGAAGTCTTCCCAATGTTTATATATTTTTTATAAAAAAATAATATTCTAACCTAATTAATTATTACCAAAGTGAAGTGAATTCTGGATTTTTCTACAACACGGCAGCTGAAAGAGAACAGATGATAAAATCTGAGAGAAAATTTATAGATGACAGGGTCGATAAAATCATTGCGTTAAAACGCAAAGTTTGTGATCAATCAACTGGCGATGCCAAGAAAAAAGCATTTGTCCTTATAAATCAAAAGGTTTGTTTTTATTTTTAAATATTATGTTATTGTTTGGCTGCTACATTTTACCCTCAATACTATTCAAACTAATCAATGATTACATTTGAATGCAGAATTTAAATTGAAACAATTAGAACCTTGCATAGATTGTTTTTCAACTTTTGTAAAGTGTGTGGAATGCTTTTTTCTATAGGAAACAGTTTTGTGTTGGGAAATGGGCTTCTTTAAGATATATTTTGACTAAACATAACCTGTTAGTTCATTTTAAGATTGAGCTTCAGCTATTTTTTATTGGCCCAGGTTAATCACAACCTAATTATTTATTTTTGAGCACCTTAGCCAATTTTTATTAGCTCAGGCTAAACCATCTGTTTTCTTAAGCATTGATATTGATATTTTATTGGTATAATTGTTATAAATGACAATATTACCATTTTTGACTAATATCGTTTATAATCAATAACTTTAAACATATTTTGATATTGTTATTTCAATGATGTAATTTAGAAAGGGGCATTATCATAAACATCATTTTAAAACTTTTTGATAAAATGGGCAAAATTAAAATAAGAATTTAAGTATATTTTGGTATAATAATGGTTAGATTATGTAATTTAAAAGGTGACTACATCATCATTTTTTAAAGAATACAATTTTTTTGCAAACGCTAAAAAATTTTGGGGGATTTAATTATATTATATCTGTTGAAACCTGAAATGATAGGAATTTGATTCATATTTAATTTGAATTCATTTTATATCAGATATGATATTTGTAGAATTAAGATAGTGAATTCATTAGAACAAGTAAAAATCGATTTGATTTATAGGAGACCTATTAAGAACTTTGTTATTTCTATCAAATTTTTTATTTATATAATGACATGTTAAAGATATATACAAATCTTTACCCATTAAATATCTAAGATAAAGAAAAAAATATAATTTGTCATATTGCATATTTAATCAAATAGTCCTATTTTTTAATAATAAGAAGAAGTGGACACTTATTTTTGAAAAAAGGAATGAGCTATATAACTGGAATAAAAAAATACACCAAATGAAAATATCAAATTATATCATTTTTAAATATCGGTTCCATTCAATTTTCAAAACCATCAATATAGGGGAGGGTTTCGAACTGAATCGAACCAAACCGCCAAACGGGAATGAACCGTTATAATTTTCCTAACCATTTTGGAGAAAATATAAAAAGAGCGAACCGAACTGTTACAAATATTTTAAACAGGTTCAAAACGTTTTTAAAATATAATTAATTTTAAATTATTGACCTAAATTTTATTTTAATTTTTCTTGGGGTCAATTTTTAAATTCATGATTTCTTTTCAAATTAAATTTTTTTTATATTATCTACATTAATCATTACCAAGTTTATTGTTTTTACTTTAAATACTCAATTTAATAGAGATTAGTCAAATTACCAATTATTTAGATAAGATTGGCTATTCTGTCCAAATTAAATTTGAAAATACCAAGATTGTTGCGCAAGATGGAAGATTACTAGAGTTAAAAAAAAATTTGTCAAGAAATATCGCTCCAAAGCAATGATCGCGAAAAATGTTTATCAGAGAATGAATGGAAAATAATTAGCGATAATTAAAAGCTTTATATCCAGTTTATATTTTGACAAAATTTATACAAGGTAGTTTCTATGATAAAAGCACGAGAAATACATTTGAAAAATAACGTTTTTTGCTCAGCATTTATCTCGACCCAAGATATAATGTATTTTTAACATTTAAAGAAAAAGAGATCGCCAGAAAACATCTTTCTATAACTTGGAACTTAATATAAAATTTAAATAATCAGAATATTGAAATTCTAGATATACTATGCCTACTTTTTATTCAAAATATAATTTAGTTGATGATTTTGAAGATTTATTAAAGTCGTATGAAAGCCTTAATAAGAATAATTCTCAGGGTATAGAAAATTATAATATATGTATAGAAATAGAATATATAATTCGGTCACTTGATAATATAGAGATATTAGAAAAAGATACTAATCTTTTGAATTATTGGCAAAACGTAAAGAATAGTATGCCAGAACTTTTTAAGTTAGCTATAACTGTGCTCCAGCTAAGAGCATTTTCTAGCCTTAAGTTAATACTCTCTGTGCAGGGAACTAAATTAAATACTAAATAATATTTTAGTTATCCATTCTAATTCTCTTTTTAAACATAAATAGTATAAATTTTATTATACTTATGTGTTATATTATTTGTAATTGCCCCTGTTTGTTTTTATCCTATTTATTTATGTAATAAAAAAAATTAATTTGTTTAATTTTTACTAAGTTTAATAAAAATATCTATTAGATTATCATGGTTAAATTAAATAAGAAATCATAAAAATATAAATTAAAAAGATTTTTCTCTAAGATTAATTTTTATGGTTTATGATTAATTTTTTTTTAAAAATAAAATTTATAAAAACCGTTATAAACCGAACCGATATTCATTTTTTAAAAAACCTAAATGGAATAAAATCTTTATAAAATTTTTAACTAAAAGCCAAACGAACTGAACAGCTATACTTAACGGTTCAAAACCCTGATCTGGGGCTCTAAGGTATTTATTAATATCGACACCACCTTGTATGAATAATAATTTGATTTTAATTTTGTAGGTCTAATTTATATAATTGAATTTTAACATAGTTTTATTTTCTTGATACATTAGATTAGACAAATATGAACATTTAGCCCCATTATCTGGTTCCCCCTTCATTTAATTATAAAGTAGTCGATAATATATTGACTACCTTGCTAAAAGATATCAAAAAAATTTGTTACATTCTTATTCCCGACCTCAAGTTAAAAATAGGTCTGGGTATATTACATGATATCAATTTTGAATTTGATTAAGGTTATCATATTATTAAACTATGGATATATTTTATAATTCATATATAAGCTCTGATTTATTATATTATAATATTTATTCCTTACAGGGAATAGACCCATATGCCCTGGATATGCTAGCAAAAGAAGGTATTATGGCTCTTAGAAGAGCTAAGAAAAGAAATATGGAAAGGTATATTTGTTTTTGAATAAATCATTTTTATGATTATTTTTAGATTAGTATTAGCTTGTTCCGGTAAAGCAGTTAACAGCTTGGAAGACCTTAGCCCAGAATGCCTTGGTTATGCTGGTCTTGTTTATGAACATATCTTGGTAAATTTTTAATTATATATAATATAAAATATATTTACCAATAAATAATTAACATCTTCTTAGATCTTTAAATATTTTATGATTATATAATATTCTACTAAATGAATGCCAAATTGGTAACTAGTTGAGATATATGACCTAAAATATTTATACATATGGCTTGGGAATTTGGGGCTGTCGTTCATCAGGCCTAGTCAGCTAAAGAATTGCATAAACAAATGGAACACAGCCACTATACAAATATATTTTTATTAATTTGCATGAGTCCTGACAAAATTTTGAATTATAAATTAAATAAAAATCACTAATTGCTTTCTCCTTATCACAGATAAGTTACCATTTTGGTAGAATAAGAGAAAACATCATTTTGTGTTATTTTTTTTTTATTTTTCAAACTTGGGCTAGCTTGGTTTTTAATTTCTTTTTAGATCAGAGACATCCATTAATCCAACTTTTTTTAAAACATTAGTCCACTGCTTCAGAACGACTTGCAGCTGCTAAAGCGCCTCTCCATAATTAAATATTAATCTAAATCATTTGCTAAATATATGTAAAAAAGTATAGCATCTGGAGATATTAGGCCTGGGCCTTTAAACATGGAAACATATTAATAAAAATAATGAGTTCTCATATTGAAACATTTAAATCACCTGCATAGATATAAAATATCAAATTATTTTTAAATAGATTGGTATAGTGGACAATTATTTATTATAATGAGAAAAGAAATGGGGTTGGTACTTTCTTTATGATTGGTCAATAATTATGCTATATAGCACGTTAATCACAGACCTGCCCAAAATGAGCGATTATAAATTATATGAAAGCTTATCCTCCATATATATAATTATGTCGATATTTTTGCAAGATAACCTACAAAATATAAAGTTATTCAGAGGTTATTGATATCGGCCGATTACCGATACGATATCATATCTAATTTTGTATTCTGTAAAGATACCAATGGTTTTAATTTTTAATATACTTTTTATTAGTATGACATCTATAATTTAACTTTACCATAACTTATCTCATTTAGTATATTATAACGATCAGTTATATTTTATATTCAATTTAATTGCAATTCTAAAAGTATATAAAATATTTTTATTGTTAAATCACTTTTATATAAAAATCTATATACATAATAAGTAATAAACAAATATATTATAAAATTTGAAATAAATAATAGATAATATTTAAAATTAATATATCGAAGATTTCTTTTTAGAAATACCAAAATTTCAAATTTATCAGAGGTCAGCCTGCGGTGATGGTCTGTCAATATCACCAGCTTCACTAAAAAGAGATTCTGAAAAGATTATCGCACACTTTTATAAACAGAATGCGCAAAAATATAACAATATGGCAGAATGTTTATTAATTAATTATTATTATTAAAAAAATATACATAAAAATTGGATTTCGAGTTTATTTATAAAAATAAATGATTTTAAATATAACTTTTTTAAAAAAATTTGTAACATTTTATTTTAGTTAAGGACGCCATTTTATATCAGATCGGATCGGGGAATTTTATAATATTGGCCGATAACCGATATTTTAAAATGGGTGATATATCGGTCCGATCCGATATAAAATATCGGTACATCACTAAATTTAAGCAAACCATTTTACTTTATATATGGGCCATTCCACGTCAAATCGATCACGATTCGGCCGACCCCTTTTAAAATTGTTAAAAATTTCTGGAATTATTTAGATAGGTAAAAAAGTGAGAAGGCCGTTTATTTTAGCTCGCTAGCACACCTGGTTCTCGAGATATAGGGGCTCAAAGTTACAAAAAAGATCCACTTTGGAATCTGTAAAATTTTTAAAATGTTTATATCTCGAAAACTATTTATATTTAAAAAAATTATAATATATCATTTTGTAGGTAAAGAAATTCTCTAATGGGCTAACAAAGAATAATAAATATTGGCGACATTATAGGCTTTTAACATCCAGTTTACCTAAATTGCTTTACCTGTATTTTTAAGCAAAATAGTGGGTTTGTTTTCGAATTTTTTTTATTGCTTTTTATTTAGACACATTTGCTAAATATATATACAATATCTAAACCTTGGCGACGCTAACGACTCCAAAAATTGATAAAAAATAGATGGCGCTTTATGAAATTACGGATTATTGTTAAAATTTTTCTGCTAACTTATCAATAACCAGATATTTTCACTTTTTATACTAAAAAATTTTGATTTTCTATTAAATATATTAATTAACTGAGGAGCAGAGTGGGCATATGCCCATTAGACACTTATTAATGTAACAAATTTCCAATAATAAATATCCTTCATATAATTATATTAATTTTTAAGGTATCTACAATTTCATCGAATTTTTCATCATTTGATGAAGATAATGGTATAATTTTAGTCGTTAAAACTTTTTTTTACTCTAGATATTTTTTTCTTTAAATATTTCTTTTCACATAAGCGTTTTCTTTTAATGAGAAATTCCCTATTTTATTGTAGGGATATATTAATGTTATCGATAGCCTCTTGTTTAATTGAAGGGGAGAATCAATATCTACATTGTCATTTGAGGTATAAGGAATGTTTTCTAATTTTTGTCGCCATGAAGAGCATATTAACATATTTAAATTGTATGGTAAATTTTTTTGTGTCATCCAGGATAGAATCTTTCTTAGATTCTCGCGATAATAAGCATGTATCTGTAGATTAAATGTGTTGAAACATTTTAATATTGGTACGTCCATCTGTGATATAGAATAAAATTTTAATTGATCTACACCTAGAATACATGTTTTTGCACTCTCCAAACTCAGATTTTTATTGGTTAAAATTATTTCGCAGAAAGCAATTTATTTTGTAAAATATAATCGAGAATATATGCCTAATAAAATATTCGTTTTTACTGCAGCTGTTATACATTATCGAGCTAAGAAGTCATTCGCTCGCTATAGTAGCAAAGTAGAGATCTAAAAAATATAAAACATTTTAAGGATAGTGGGAGCGGGGGGTGGAGGGCAGAACTGGAAAATTTTATCACAATTCTTATAAACGTATCAATATTTTCATTTTCCTTAAGAATAATATTTTTCAACCATTAGCGCCATCTACTTTTTTCTTCAATTTTTGGTAAAAATGTATATTATGGAAATGTCGATAGAGTCGCCAAGGTTTTGAGATCGTATATATATTTATAAAAGGTGTCTAAATAAAAAGCAAAAAAAATATTCGAAAACAAACTCACTATTTTGCTTAAAAATACAGGTAAAGCAATTTAGGTAAACAGGATGTTAAAAGCTTATAATGGCGCCAATATTTATTATTCTTTGTTAGCCCATTAGAGAATTCCTTTACCTACAAAATGATATATTATAATTTTACTATAAATAGTTTGAGATATAAGCATTTTAAAAATTTTACAGATTCCAAAGTGGCTCTTTTTTGTACCTTTGAGCCCCTATATCTCGAGAACCAGGTGTGCTAGCGAGCTAAAATAAACGGCTTTCTCATTCTTTTGCCTATCTAAATAATTCCAGAAATTTTTAACAATTTTAAAAGGGGTCGGCCGAAAAAGTGCCTTTATTGATCGATTTGACATGGAATGGCACATATTTAATTTGTTTGGGGATATATATAGACCTGTGTGTATTGATCTATGGGGATATATATAGACCCGTGCGCCAGCCGTTGGCCGGCCGCCGACCTTTTTTTGGTTACGCCGTAAAACGCCGCCGTTTAAGAAAATCACGCAAGTGGCCGGTGCAGAAATTTCTTTCATATTTCATACCTATTTATTCTAATAATTGATCAAGATCACTGTTGTAATTTTTTTAATGTAAATCAGGATTTTGATGAATTTTTATTTTCTACTATTTTAAAATCATAATTATATTGATGTCATTATAGAATTCAATCAATCAAAAATCTATAATTCCAAAAGTTAATAAAAAAATCCATAGTCTGGATATTTTTTTGCAAATAAATTAGAGAAATTACTAACGCTCTAAGATATAAAACTGCAGAGGTTGAATTTGAATTCGAGGAAGATCAAAAAAATGTCTAAGTACAATAGATTTAACATCAGACATGTTAGATCTTGACAGCATTGTCCATACCCGGATACCCGTTTTCAAATGGCAATTCCAATGATAATAATAACAATAATCCATGCATATGAAAACCTTAAAATTAAATGTCCCAACACTTGCATAGTATATTAATTATCCTAGAAAGCATGTCTGGATTAAATAAGAATTTAATTAATAATGTTTTGAAAAGAATTAATTAGCACTTTCTCAAATTATAACATTATGAATCCGAGCTGGTAGAAGAACGATTAGAATTTCTTAAAAATATAAAGAAACTGTCGAATTTCTTTCAGTACAAAAAGGGCCTACTTTAAACCTGGCGTTACGTTTTAGAAGTGAAATTGAAACAAGTTTAATAGTAAATGACAGTGATAGTTCTGAAATCATTTCACTTAAGGAAAATATGCTAAAAAAAACTTGTCGATGTGTAATCTGCAAGTAATAATATATAAGTATATTCTTTTATTTTTTATTTAAAATTATCTAGGTAATGGCTTCTCTTTTAGATCCAAGATTTCAAAAATTGACAATTGTGTCAAAGTATTTAATAGAGCAAAATTGTTCAGCTTCAGAATTTATAATAAAACATCTTATAGAGAATGATGATAATCAGGTAGTAAATATAGTTTGAGGATCAGGATGAATTATTAAATTTAAATTATTTGACAAAATTGGCAAATAAACATTCAACAAATATAAATTATGATTCCAAGTTAGGTGACTTAGAACAAGAATGCCACAGTTTTCTTGGAAAACGATTTCACAAGATATGGACGTTCTAAATTTTCTGAGAGAAAAGAAGAGTAAACTTCCCAATCTTTCCAGGCTCGCCAAAAAATTCCTTGCATTCGGGTGAGTATAGTGAAAGAGTTTTCTCTACCGCTGGATTGATGTTATATTCAAGGGGATCATTATTATCCCGAAAATTTAAATAAAATATTATAAAAAAAATCAATTTTGGATTTATAATGAGTTTTCTATTAAATAAATATTAAAAAATATGCCGAGATATCTGTAGAGTAATGTATATTCGTTTTTTTAAATAATAAGCAATTAAAAAAATTTATGTTATAAAAATTTATAACTACGCCGATTTTGTTTACGGCGGCTAAAAATCAGCGCGCCGCCAGCTGTAGATAGGATTTTTTGAAAATTGCGCCGGCCGCCGATAGTTTATCAGCGCACAGTTATATATGATTTTACATCAAATTCAGTATATTTTTTCTACTCCAATTTCCACTTCATATAAGAATTACCATTCAATATTCTGACTACAGATTAATATTTATTCACTAATATTATGGTTTGTCTATAACCATTAGGTTGAATAAAGTAATCCAAGATAATACCTAAAGTCTTAACTACATGTACTATAAAAAAATATTTACCTTCACCATCATCATTTGTTAGATGGTCATATATTAGGCTCATATTCCTCTTACATAAACTTCTGTTTGCCTCAGCCTATATGATAAACAAGAGAGTCTCATATCCATATAAGATTTAATATTTCCAAACCTCTTACAGGACAAGAACGGTTTAATGGAGGTTTATCAATTGTTTGATTAGGTTATCAGAGTCTAAATACATGCCTTATTAACTCTATTTTCCTTTATTCTATTAATTTTACAAACTGGAAGGTTATTACACATGACCCATAGAACCCTGTTGGATGTGTTGAATGGAAATAGTTATATACCACTGGCATTTGTTAATAAACGATTAAATCTTCTTGATATGGGACACAATATTCTTCTCTATTCCAAAGAAAAGTGAGGAGAAGACTAAAATTTTAAATAGCGAATCTTCATAGGAATAGATAATTGGTTCAAGAACCATATCTTTATATATGACTAGTACTAAAATCTGACTTTGTTTTATTTAACCAAAATATCCTGTTTCGTTTGCCCTTTATTGTCTAGAATAACTCCCAGATCTCATGAAAACAGTGGCGTAGCTACAGGGGTGGTTTTCGGGTTTTGACCCCTCCCAGAGCAATTTTTTTAGATTATACGTTTAAAATACTTATAAGTGACTTTATATCAAATAAATACCATTAATATTTATATTTTTCTGGTTTTGATGTTTGTGGAAGGATATTATATAACTATTGAAATTATTCTGAATAGTATTATTATAAAGTCATTGAGAATAATCTACTAAATTATAATAACATATTGATGCATTAAAAATATATTTATTATATATTATCGAAGATATGGTTATGATTTGTAAGATAAATCTGGCCGAAAGCTGGGCAAAAGGGCCGAAGGCCCGTTAAAGGAAGCCTGGGGGGCTCAAAATATTTACTCATTATTTAAAATAGACTAAAGCCAAAAGTGGAACCAGATTATATAGGCTCAATGGTCTCATTTAGAAAGGGTCACAATGTGTTTGATGCCATTATGCCACTAGAAATTAAAATTGAAAGAGTCATAGAAAGGAAAAGTTATCTATTTATTGTGTCTTTAGACTTAGAAAGAGCATTTCTTTACTATTATCCATACGAGTTTGTATTCAGCATTGAAAGAGAATGGGACACCAATTCATATATTAAAGCTTCTAATTAGCATATAAAAAATTATTTATGCAAGTCTGGAATCTCCAAAAATTCAGGGATGTGCATTGTCCTTTTACTATTCAATTTCATCACTAATTATATTATAAAAATATAAGAGCCTCTTGTACAAAAGAAATGGTGGTAGAAGATATAAATATTCTGTTGCGGATGACTTATGTCTAATGGGGACATTTATGCACAAACTTCAATACCTAGTCAACAAAATATTCATTTTAGCAATGTTTTTTGACTTATATCTGAACACAGAGAAAAAGAATGTGTTGAACTCTGCTAGTACGTTAACACATGATAATTTAAGAATAGGCAAGAGGATATTGTAGAGGTTGCATGAGATATCAGGGAGTTATTCTAGATAGACAAGCGAAACATAATATGGTGGATATTAAACAAGGTCAGATTTAAGTACTGGTCATTTATGAATAAATGGTCCTCTCAAACCAATTATCTATTCCTTTGAAGATTCGACTTTTAAAATTTTTCTTCTCTTCGTTTTTCTTTGGAATAGATATGTGAATGTTGATGTGCCTCATAGCAATAAGATGCGATCGTTTATTAATAAATGATTGAAGTATATTACAATCTTTTTTTCATTCAATACGTTCAACAGTGGGCTAGGTGTAATAACCTTCAGTTTGCAAGTTAATAGAATATAGGAAAATAGAACAAGCGCCTGATAAAGTCTTCTCGGAATAGACCTCCATTTGACCTTATCGTATAAGAATAGCTGGATTGGCATATATGGTACTATCTTGGAAATTTATAAAATGGGCTGTGGCAAATAGACGCTTATTTAAGTGGATTATGAGTCTAATATATGGCAATCTAAAGAACGATTGTTGATGCTGAAGGTTTAGATTATTTTATTTGACCTAATGGTTGTAGGCAAACCATAATATTAGTAAATATTGAACTTTAGAGTCGGAGTATTGGTCATTAGAGTAAGACAGCAATGCTTATATGTGTAAATTAGAGTACTAGGTTATTTGTTAGGATCCTTGCAAAAAAAATCGACATAATTATATATATGATGGATCTTTATATAATTCACGTTTGCTCATTTTGAACCTATCTCTAACCAACGTGCAAGGTAAGATAATTTTAATTATCAATTTATATTCCTTTTAACTAGTTGTATAAAATATACTGCGCGTTTAATATTCTCCAATTTGATTATTAACGAAACCCAGTGATTTGGATAATAAATATGATTTTTATTTGATTTTGATACCGCCTTTTGTTTATCTGTTCATCAAAATTGCTCTGTTTTCTCTTGAAGATATTTTTTACAAATCTAAGAATATTATATTTTATGTTTTTATTGTTATATTGTAGAATCAATGTCAATCATCCAAATTTAAAATTAATTTACCATTTTTGTCCATTGTGTAGAATTTATATCTTGTTTGCAAGGATGCGAACCCGGCAAAATTTTAGTCCTTGTTCAGTTTGGTTTAATGTTGAAAAACAGGTGTGTTTGGGTTCGTTTCAGGGATATATTTTTGAACCAGGGTTTGGTTCCAGGTTGAGCTCGGGTTTAAGAATTTTTGAATTGATAAAAAAATATATATTTAAATCATATTTTATTTATAGGCAAAATAGAGTTAAAAATACAAAGTAATCATGTATCAATTTTAAAAATTTTATTTCGACTTATTTCTTTAAATTAACAATATCCAATATAATAATTTTTATGACTTGTTCACTTTTATCTTCTTCTAATTTATAATATTTGAGAATTAGTTAAAAATTAAAAATAAATAGCGTAAATGAATTTAATTGTTTAAAATTTAGTCAATAGGAATCTTTGTGAATAAATTTAAAAATGGCGTAAATGAATTAAGTTGCTTAAAATTTATTAACACTTCACTTAATTAGAAATTTGAAAATATTATAATCATTTAAATTATTTATGTTAAATATCTTAATATATGATTTTAAACAATATACTAAACCCGGTTGAACCCGGGTTTAAATAAAATTCCCGGGTTCGGTATGGGGTTTTGAAAATTTTAAAACGGGGTTCAGATTCGGTTCGGGTTCAGATTTTTCCCCAAAACTTGGGGTTTTATTTTTCGGGTTCGGTTCATATCCCTGCTTGTTTTAGTTATAAAGACATAAAATCCGATAATTATCAATAAATTTATTACAAAAACAATTATTTTAATATAATATAAGCTAGAAGTAGACATACACAAAGTATATTCATGGAAATCCACCAATACCGATTATTTTATCGATTAAACAATGGGCAATAAATTTTGATTTTTTTTTTCCTTATTAGGTTATTTATAATTTACTGGCGCAAAATAAAATATTAAAATCATTTTATTAAAAAAAAATACTCATTAAATTATTTTATAAATTTTTAAAACAAATACTTAATTAGGCAGATTGATAGAAATAGATTCCCAAATCTTAGGATTTAATATGACGTTACTTACCAACGCTAGATACCACATTTTTTATTTTTGAACCTTGGACAAGAAAAATTGAATATAGGTGGTATCTGACCGATACTTTGCCTTTGTATCCGCATAAAGAGCACTAGTGGTACATCTCTGATATAAACCATAAAATAAAATTGTATCAAAAAAATATTTAAATTATTTGATACCAATACCGCTAAAATTATCTAAATATACATTTTATAAATGATATCTCGATAATAAAACATTTTTAAGATACATATCCCATATATTTTTTAACAACTCATATTTGATATAGGGCGAAGATAAGTTTACATTTGTAGAGGATTGCAAAAATCCCAAATCTGTAACGATTCTCATCAAAGGTCCTGCCAAATATATTATCACTCAAATGCGGGATGCTGTTAAAGATGGCCTTAGAGCTGTCAAAAATGCCATTGAAGAAGGTTATTTTTCATTAATATAAATGATTTTTTTATATATGCATTATAGTGCTATATAATAAATATATATCAACATATATTATGATTTCAATATATATAATAACTAGGTATTGTTCCAGGTGCTGGAGCCTTTTACATAACTTGTTACAAACATTTGCGTGACCTGATTGATGGGAAATACGACAATAAACCTGGGGAAGAAGATATAAAAGGTTTGTATTTATTTAAATTTTTTTAAAAGGTCTTAGACAATTGATATCATAAAAATTAATAAATTATATTATTTATTTTCCACTATGATAAATTCGATTTAGAAACACCATTCCATTTATACCCACAAAAATACAAATCGTATATAGGATGTAGAACCAAACCGTGAAACCCAAATTAACCGTTAGAATAAAATCTCACTATGTCTAAACCAATTTATGCTGTCTTAAAATTATAAAATGAATAACATAATTTGACCTATTTTTATATTTTTTTAATAGAATATTAAAAAAGTAAAAGTTATGATACTTAATTAACTATTTCTTATTCAAGTTCTAAAATAAAGAAATTGAACTTGATTTTCTTAACTGGTTACGTTTTTATTTTTAAAATATTTTTATTAGAATTATGAGTCTATAAAAATTATATATTATGATTAATTTAATATAAAAACCAGAGACCTGCAGAGATACCATTTGCACGGCCCGGCCCGGTTTTAAATTTCTTAGGCCCGGCCCAGATTTAAAAATTTCAGGCCCGGCTCGGAATTTTTTAAAATTATATTCGACCTGGTATATACAAAAATTCACCTATGAGGTATTTTACCATATTTTTCAGCGAGTATTATCGCTTATTATTTAAAAAATGCATGTAAAAAGCTAATATTTTGAGAATATTATATATTTTTTTTTTTGATATTCGACTTTTTTATTATTTTTAAAAAAAATATTATAAAATAAATTATATAATTTACAGAGGATTAAAAAATATATATTAAAATGGATACTATAAAAAAAAAATATATATAATTTATAAAAATTATAAAACTGTTATTTATAAAAATGGATATTTTGAGTATATACTATATTTTATATTGCATTTATAAAAATAAAACTAATATTCATAAAAATGGTAATAATATTTGTCATATACTATATTTTATATTACATTTAAAAAAATAAAACTAATATTTAATTTATAAAAATGGAAAATATTTTGAGAATATAATATATTGTATTTAATTTACTATTTAATTTATAAAATAAAAATAAATCGCTATTTAAAAAAATGCATGTATAATAAATAGTATTTTGAAAATATAATCTAATTGCACAATATTAATATAATTTATTTTATAATATAAATTTTTAACAAAAGAAGATAATTGTATTATATAATATTGTAAAAAAAAATAATGAAAAATGTTGGATTAAAAACTTTCATGACTCAAGGTAAATATAATAAATGCAATAAATATTTGACAGTTTGCAAAGTAAAAAACCAGCATGATTGACGAAACCCTATACTCAAGAAAGATATTAAAAATTCACAAATTATCATGAAGAAAGAGAAGCATATCTACCTTTTCAGGTTGAAGATTACTTCTTCTTTCTTTAAGAATTCTCCCAGTAGTGGAAAAATTCCGCTCAAAGCTTGCACTTAAAGCAGGAATTGCCAATTTTGCTAAAATTGGAAATTCGCTTTGATGAGCCGCCCACCACTCTAACAAATTATCCACCTTAAATGTTTTATCTATTATTTATGTAATTATAATATTCATCATCGGGTATTGACATATTACCAGAATTACCATCGCCCCATTTGTCATAAAACGATTCAGTTTGTTTAACAACAGTCGTAATTTGACTGGTCGATGGTATTTCATTTACTTCCTGAGCCTCTTGTAATTTAATATAATCTTTTATATAGTTTTCCGTCATTTTGCGATCTGTCCCTGACTACCTACGTAATTGCTTGAATTTGGGACAGAGAAATAAAATGATACTTGTGTAAAACAAATTTTTCAATTAAAAAATGCTTTATATTAAGTAAAATCAATTACAAACTTTAAGAAGTGATAATCCTTTATTTGATTGTTTTGGTAAAATATATTCTAAAAATTTAGATATGAATTATAAAAAAATATATTAATAATACTTGAATATTGGGGCTTATTTAAGATATTCCTTTATTTGATTGTTTTGGTAAAATATGTTGTAAAAATTTAGATATGAATTATAAAAAAATATATTAATACTTTGAATAAATTTGCAGGAAATTAATAATTAGATCGATCTGTGGGTTGTTAGGTAGTGTTAACCATCACCCAATATTATATTAATCATAACTATAATATAATATAATCTTATAACCATTAACTCATAATGTAAAAATTTTTATAAAAAATATTAAGGCCTTACCCGGCCCGGGTTTAACAATCTTAAGCCCGGGGTGGATATATTTAAAAAAAAATTTTTAGGCCCGGCCCGTATATGTTTAAAAAAAATTTTTTTAGGCCCGGCCCTGGTATATTTAAAAAATTTAAAATACGGGCCAGGTTTAGGGCCGGGTCTTGCAGGTCTCTGATAAAATGATAAAAATCAAAGAGCCGAAAGAAATATCTAAATTTGAATGGAACTAAACATTGAAAAATTCCGTATTAGAATACTAAAAAAATTGAATATTAAAATAAGGGATGCGAAAATGAGTTTAACCCCTCATGTTTTTGCCAAACCCGAACACTTATATAAATTGATATTTCAAAAGCTTATAAATAATAATATTATAGAAATACCTTGCCTTGCAATTATGTAAATCTATAGAGTAGTTTATTTTATTAATAACTAGTCATTATCTTTATGCACTCCAACCCTAAACCCTTTTTAATATTTGAACCCAAATATGAATCTTTTTTTTATCAAAGGGCTCACATTCCTAATTTAAATTATAAAAGGTGATTAGTGGAAATATTCATAATATATGAATCAATGGATAGCGAATTCTTTTTTGGCATAATTCCATCAGGTTTACTTACAGCAGAGACCTGCCAGCTCAGGTACATGGACCGGGTCGTATTTTAATTTTTTAAATATACTCGGGCCTGGTATATAAATTTTTTTTAAAAATACCCAGGCTGGGCCTTATATTTTAAAGCCAAAATTTAAATCGCTATTAGTGAAAATTAAAAATAAAAGTAATATTTTTTTAAAAAATCAGGACTGGGCTTAAAATATAAAACCCCGTCCGGGCCTTGCATATGGTGCCTCTTGCAGTTCTCTTATTTATGCAATAACATTTTTATTTAAAAAAGATCAAAAGATTCAGACATCTATAATAATCATTCAAACATGTAGATGGGTTTTATTTTAAAAAAAAATTTATTAGGAAAAATAAAGCTGGGTATTGAAGCCTATGCTCAAGCCTTGCTTATAGTCCCACGCACTCTGGCCTTAAATTCCGGGTTCGACATGCAAGGAACCATTATTGCGTGCATGGAAGAAGGCAATAATAACGTGGGGATCGATTTGGATACCGGTTTTTCATTTTTTAAATTATTTTTTGGTATAATTTATTGATTTTTTAAAGGTTTGCCGATCAAGCCAAACGACTTGGGAATATGGGATAATTACAATGTTATTAAACACAGTCTATATTCTAGGTAAATCAAATTTTGTTTTAATATTTATATTTCTGTATTACGCATAATAGACCAAAATCAATCATCAAATTGAATGGAACTAATCGAGTAAATAATTAGCTTATATGGCTAATTCTGAGTTAGTTGGCTGAAAATTCTTCGAGAGATTATTTGAAGTTTTATAATACAACATTTCGCTAAACTATGCTGGCACTTGATAATTATTGGCTAGAACACTTTTATAAACTAATATGAATTTTAAATTCAAACGCAAGTTTTAATAAAGCTTCGATATTTTAATAATGTTCTGAATATATTGTTATTATTTTATCAATACAATAAATAATACCTAATTAAAGGTCTGCAATGAACGGGGTTTCAGCCCGTGACCACTTTCGGCAGGGAGATTGAAAAAATTTAAATGATGAAAGGGTGGCTTTCTTTATTAAAAAAACTAATAGATCATATAATTTTCATTGGGTAGGTTAGTAACATTATTTCTAAACTAATAATTGACTGGTTCAATTGCAAACCTCGAATCTGAATGTAATTTTTTTTTAATTAATGTCCATTTTATAGTATATCGAATTTCATTTTTTATTAAAATAAAAATAAGGATTTGTAATATTTATTTTATAAAAATAAAGCACCGTAATAGCCAGTAATATATTGTTGGTAGATGAAATGTTAGCCGCTGGAATATCAACTCTCAAAAAATAGAAATGAAAATCTAATTTTATAAATATCTTCTCATATTTGTGCCTTTATTTTGTCAATTTTAGTACGCATTTTATATTAAAATATTTTGCCTTATTAACTTGTTTTTGGATTGTCAATTGATTTATATTGGAGCATCAAATTCATAAAACACCTTAAAGCATTGATTTTTTTTTTCATTCCAGTCAGATAGTTATGAGAATCCTGTACACTATTTTTGTTTCCGAATAAAGCTTTGGTTCCTAGGTTGGTCTAAAAAATATTAAAACAAAATCTTGCTGCATTTATTTTATACTTTTTATCAATATAAGTATTTAAATAATATCCAGTCTTTTGATATCAAATCTCAGGAATTAAATGTATAGACTGTCCCCAGTGTCCTACCTCCTCGCAAACCAGTAACGCTAAGATATCTCACAGAATATAATAATTCAATTATAAAATAGATATCGACTATATCTTGACTAAGAGGGCATCCCTCTGAGAATTTAATGATGCAATTGATTCGTCCCACCATTTCCCCTGATGGCCTCGGGTTTCAGGCGCTATTATTATATTCTATAAAGGGCCCTAAAGCAATTGGGCCTGAATCATCTTTAGAGTTTGAAAATGCTATAAAGAGGGCATCAGATCATATTGTCGCCTAAGCTTTGAAATGTATATTTTATATTTTTTAAAAAGATGAGATAAGAACAGGATTTGAAATATTAGACTACTCATTTATGTATATAAAAGCAGGACGAAATATACCATGTAGTTATAGTTAGAATTAACAAAAATCATGGTTTTTCTATTTGAACCAAATTTTATAAAATGATTGAAATTAATGTTTTTATGTAAAATAGCCTCTGGGAAAAAGTTATTGATCAAACACATTTCATCCTTTTTAAAAATTTAATCATTTGCTACCACATTTTGGCATATCATATCATTAAATATTCAAATAAAGTAACCTATGACCGATTTAAAAAAAATATATAAATTTTACCTTGAATTTATTAATAAACTTGTTAAAACAATATTGAATTGACTATCATTTTAATAATATATTTTCCCATTTATACTAATTTTCATTCCAAATATAAACAGCTTTATTTTTTTTAAGGAAAAGGAATGATTACTTGTTACAATAGGTTATGAGTAATGCACGTTACTCGTCTTTTAAATTTTTCCTTAAAAAATATGCAAATAATATATTTTATATAATTTTTTTAAAAATTTAGAAATTCGAACCAACCACCAAAGTTATGTATTATAATTTTATAAATCAATCAAGGTATGTTAATTTATTATATCTAATATTATAATTATAAATATCTGTCAAAAGTACTTGTTTCTTCATATGAAGAAGATTTAACCTGTATTCTGGACCCGATTTAGGGTTTATGGAATTGTTATAGATGTTAAATAAAATGATAAATATATTAATTAAAATATAAAAAAAATATTAATTTAAATAAATTTATGACTTTATAAAATGTATCGCGATTTTTACTAACTTATTTTATTTTATAACACTATATAAACTTAAAATTTTAGATAATATTGAATCATATAAATTTTTTTATCTAATCTTAACTTGCCATTATGTGTTTCCAGCAGCAATTTTAAATAATTTAGGGAAAATTTGTTAAGAGGAACTTAATCGAAAACTGACCTTCTAAAAGAGCTCGAACCCGAGAACCCTCGATTTAACTCTGACGGCCCTTTTACAACAACGAAGAAAATTAATGGCATTAAGTCTACACTTTATTATTGTATTGTGCCATAATTAATATTTCAACCTCAATGTCCAGCAGCTCAAATCTTTAAAAAATATGAATTCTGATAAAGTTCTTTAAATATTTTAATAAATTTCTCCAATTAAAGATTTTATTTATTAACTGTAATACAATCTTCATTTAGTGTAGCGTGATCTGCTAAAAATCTCACTCTAAACCTAATTAGGTTTAACCGATTTTTCATCTAAATCTCGGCAAAGTCGTTTTGGAGTCGGCGAAAATTAGCCGAATAAGCATCACGCGGGGGAATTTAAAATTATATAAAATGGGGAGGGGGGTTTAAAGGGAATTAAAAAAGAAAACGTTTTGTTTATTTTAAATCGTTTCAGTACATTAGGAGAAATAAAAAGTTTATTTAAAATAATTGAATCGGATCAATGAATAATGGAAAGAGAGAATGAACGAAATATAAAGATATATTTTTAAAAAAATGTGTTGCGCACGAAAATTTATATATAATTAGTATTTTTTTAATGCGTTCCTTTTTGACTATGCAATGAGTAACGGTAAAGAGTTGTATTTTTTAAACGTAACGAGTAACGCGTTTTTTTTAAAGTAATGTTTCAGCACAAATATAATTAATATAAAAAAATTAATGTGAGCAATGTTTCATTATTTATTTAATATATCTATGTAACCCTAATAATAAAAATTTCCTAAATATTGAATATATATTTATTTAAATACGAGCAAATAGTAGCCAAATTAAAAGCAGTATATTATATCGAAAAATTAATAGCATGTTTATAATAATTAAATTAAGTATATTATATGCTAAATTAGTAATTTAAAAAGAAGATAAAAAATTAACTTAAATAATAATTTTTATTCGAGAAAACATCAATTTTAATGAATTTGTTTTAATCATGTCAACTCTATTTGTAGTCAATTACACCGAGGATGAAAAATATAAGCCAAGAATATAAAAATAGTAGAAAGTAATTACGTTATGCAAAAATGTCATAACTACTAACTTTAGTACCCATCATTTTTTTATAATTTATTGTTCAAATTACTTTATAAGGATGGTAGCAAACCGCCTCGCCCTTATGGTTTTTTTCTTATTAGGGAATGATTTATTCGGGCAGGCCCGGTGGCATACGATCCTGCCGCGTCTTACGTAGATTTTTTTTCTTCAAATAATATAATTTCTTGATAATAAATAACATTTTATTTTACCAAGAAGATAAAATGAATATTTAAAAAAACAAGGTTCTGCGAATTAGCAAAATAATATATATATACCTTGCGAATGATTTATATGCAAAAGGAAATAACTGATGATACAAACATTGGCAATAATTAATTTATCTTATTTACCCATATTATAAAAATCGCATCCTTCGTATGCATTACGGAGGACCGATCATATTTTAGTACAGATGTTTAAGGACCGACTAGCAGCGTCTACATGAGCGGGAAGGGTAGGAACAGTTCGCATCCTATTTTTTTAAGGGGGGTAGGCTGCTTTAATGGGGGGTAGGATAAATTTTTTTGGTGGTTATCTATTAAATTTTGAGATGAAATAGGACAAAATTTATTGCTGTAAAAATTAAAACTTTTATTATAGAATTATTATAATAAAATTATCGACCAAATCTATATATTGCAAACAATCATACACATTGTTTTCCAAATAAAACTTTCTGCTATCCTTTTAAATGTAATTTAAAAGGTTTGGATAGCAAGCTCATAATGTCATAATAATTAATTCATTGTAAATAATGGAGGTTTTAATTGAATTTATTATCTAAAAAATAAATTCTCTATATTCACTATCGATAGATGGTAGTAGATATAGATTAATTTAAGTTATCCTTATAAATTCTTTGAAAAGAGTATCAATATAATTATAAAGGTGAAAATAATAATAAAGAGACACAGCCGCCGAAGGTGCGAGTTTTTTTTTTTGGGGGGGGGGGGGGTAGGCAAAAGTTTTTGAAGGGGGTTTGCACCCAGTGAAAATCCTGTCATGTAGACGCTGCCGACTAGGACATGACGAAACTTACATACTGACAGTTTAATCAAACTATTTTTAAAAATGGATATTTGTAATATTCAATTATATAAATTTATATTTATAAAGGATATTATTTCTTACTGGTATTATATTAAATAAAATTTTACAAATAAATTATCATTTGATGAATATAAGTAACTAGCATATTAAAGGTTTGCAATAGGCAGTTTAAAATTTTATAAATATTGGGCGGGTTATAATTATTTTTAAAACATTTGGCTAGTAGGTAAATTAATTAAATATTTCAGACGACATGAATTGAACGAGCATATATTTATTAAAAATTTAAATAAGTGGGTGGGTAAACTTTTTGATTGACTTTAAAAATTCAGGCTAAGACCTGCCCATTGCTGACTATAGCAGTTAAAGAATGATATAGGAAATTTCTAAATTATTTGATCACGGATGAATCAGGAATTTCCCTTCTATTTTATTAGGTATGACTGAAAAGTGGCCTGATTTTGAAGAGAGGTGATTCAGAAATTTTTTATTATTTTAAGAATATTAGCAATGTATTTTATATTTAATATCTTCAACTAGTGATATGCATCGGGCCTAATTAGGCCCGGTCTGAAATTTTTTATTTACCCCTAAAAGCCCGGCCCAAAGTTAAAATTAATAATTATCCGACCTTTATTTAAATATAAAATAAATTTTAATTGCAAAAATAATTTTCCGCAGCGCCTTGTTTCTTGAAAATTTTTTAAAATATATCCATTTATCCACAAAATTGAAAATAGTGATTGTAGTTTATGATCTAAAAAAACTAACCTTGTTAGATGAGATTTACAAATATCATCCAAATAATTATGCTTAGTTGAAGTACTAAATATATATTTTGCTAACATACTTTATCTAAATAACAGAATTTCCGAATTACCTCGTATCAGAATATTGATGTATTTCTTCTGCCTTATAAAATAAAGGGGAAATTTCTGATTATTCAGCTATTCTTTGACAGGATAACTGCCAGTATAATATTAGATGATGATCCATGTTAGTAATAATATTTTAATCAAGAATTTTTATGCATAAAACACATTCTAGGTTATAAAATTTACAAAAAAAATAAAAGTAAGCCAATGAATTACAACGAGAATTTTTATGGCTTCCAATTTTTCTACGCAATGATTTGTTGATTTATTTTTTTACTCCTTTATTAAAAGCCCAGATGTTTTTCAATTTTATTAATATAATATTTCTTTTATGTTTTATACCTCTCCTCCTGCCTTGATGAAAATTGAAAAACATCTGGGCTTTTAATAAAGGAGTAAAAAAATAAATATCATGAAGATTTTTGAAGATCGTTGATCGCAGCGATCTTCAAAGATCTAGATCTTTGAAGATCGTTACACAAAATTTTTAAAAAATAAAAGATCTTCAAAT